AGTACACACCTCCAGAGTCAGAGGAGAGTGTGCATGAGTCGGCAGTTGTTGTAACTCCAGAACGCTCCCCTACACCCTCAGTAACGAGCGAAGAGCCGATTCCATCGGAGAGTGCGGAGGAAGAAAAAGATGTGGAATCGATTAAGGAAGAAATGGAGAAGAAGGAACAGTCTAGTGAACAGGTTAGTTAGTTAAGATGATTACTGTTGGTATTTTTCAGCCAGACACTAGTCGAGTGAAGATTTATTAGTTTTCCTTTTAAATCATAGATCTCTGAGATCAAAACTCCAGTGACTACCCCAGTCCCAACTCCACCTGCTGTACAGTCCCCTCCGGTCAGTATATCTACACCTGAGGCTTCGGTTCAAGAGCTCGGAGAATCGCAAGATACCATAGTTCCCACGCCCCCGCCGTCTGTTGTTGTCAAAACACCAACACCGGAGCCTGAACCCGAGCCGGGACCAAGCATGTAAGTCTACACCTGCAATAAATTCTGAGAAGCTGTTGCTTAATGGTTAGCGCGCTCGACTCCGGATCTAAGAGCCCGGGTTCGAGACCTCTCCGGGCCACTGTGTTGAGTTGTGGGGCAAGATAATTCACTCTCACGGTGCTTCTCTCCGCAAAGGAGATGAAATGGGTGAACTTAAAGGACAAGAGAGGCGATTTGAGATAGATCAGGGTCCCGTCTAGGAGGAGAGGGGATACTCGTCATCACTTCAAGCTTCAAAGACCAGGGAAAGCTCTTAGTCAGTTTGGTATTTGGTCTTAATCATGTCCTTTCAAAAAAGATAAAGGTAGCTCACTTCTATTTAGTGTATACTTACACAAGCTAAAACTATCAAGTTGCTTTTTTTTGCTGTCTCTCAACGCAGGGTTGAAGAACCCAGTGAACCAAAGGAACCGGCGGTTAGTCAAAAGGAACTGACACCTCCTCAGCCCGCGAAACATTCAGTCAGCAGTCCTTCGAGCATGTCATCTACCACCCTTGGTGCAACAACAATAACCACTGAGGAGGAGATGTCTGAGGGAGAATTAATACAGGTCAGTGTATCACCCTCCCTTCTCTTCTGAGTCTTCCTGAGAACAGTCAATCAGGGAGAAGTACTTCCCAGAGGAATTTTCAACTGAATGTCGAAGATAATCTGGTGTTACTTGGGTTTCCTTTACTTCGCATTGTGATTGGTCCAGAAAACTTGCGCCATCCTGTCAACAAATGGGATTCAAACCTAAAACCAATCGCGACTTGGTAACTCGCGTTTTTCCCGCGCTTCAAGCGGTTTGCCTGTTTTTCCTTTGAGTTGTCATTGGCTTCTTGTGATATTTTCCCTTTCCCTGATTGGTTATTGGGTTTGATTTTCCACCTTCCGGATTCTGAATTCAAAAGCGCTCAAAGCTCATAAGGTATCTTTAATAATTTTCTCGATTTTTTGTAAGGAGAAATTTTCACTGTTAAATTTTTGGAAGAAGTGTTTGTTTTAATGTTGTCTTTTCTGGTTTGATAATTCAGCCATATGCACATGTTGGAATGTACAGCGAGGGAGAGTTTGCTCTGTCGCCAACCATTGTACAACTGGCCGCTGAAAAAAAATTGCCCATGGGTGAGGACTGGGATTCAACAAGGTTGGGACACGATGATGGTAAGAACTTGAACTAGATTTAATTACACAGCTAGTAAGTTACTAATCAATTGCTGGCTCGAGTCGTGTTTAACTTACACTCGGATGATATTGCTTACATCTTTAATTTGCCAAAGCGTCGAAAGGATCAGTTTTTCATCAGAGTTACATAAATAGACGAAATTGACAATATTGTTGATTCTTTTTACTATTTCATCTCATTTTTGTCCATGTCTCCACCATTTCTTCGAAAGCTGAGTTGAAATTAAGTGTCAGTGTGTCATTCTGTTTTTATAGTTAAAGCTGTGATATTTTCCTCTCGCAGACAGCCGTAACGAACTCGTTAGGGTCGCTCTCAATGGCATCTTAAAAGGTGGCCCAGCGGACAAACGACATCGACAAGGATCCAGTGACAACAGCAGTAGGAGCAACAGTGAGTCTGAAGAACAGATCAGCGGTGTCAGCACTCTGAGAGATACAGAGGACATTAGAGAGGTAATGGTTACCTGATAGATAATATGATTTTACAAATATTACGGAGCAATACCAACTTGACATATCGTCATATTGTTCATATCGTCATATTGTTCAGACTTGACATATCGTCATATTGTTCACGGCAAGAGGTAAAGAAGGAAGGACTGTGACGAGTCGATTAGTGGGGGGGGGGGGGGGGATTGGCTGAAAGCTGAAAGCTGAAAGCTCGACACTTTGTCGCACAACTATCATATTTTTTAAGCAAGGTTTGACGCAAGTGAAAAAACTGCGTAAATGATATATGATAGAGAGAGCCAGATGCGCAGACCTTTCAGGATTGTATCATCAGTCAGCTCACTCACGCGGAGCCGAACAAGATCTAAGCTGCGCGGGCAACAACAACTGAATCAGCCCGTAGTTAGTGTGACGAACCTTAACGGGAGGCTTCTCTTGAAGTCGTGGTAATCCATTTCGATCGCAAAGCCGTTGATTAGGAGACTGAACCACTTTTTTGTGCTCACTAAGTTAAGTTCATAGTTAGGAAAAACTACAGCGTAGAAGCCCGTGGTGCAAGTAGTAACGGACATTGAAGCTCTAATGATGGTAGACAGATGCCACCAAAAAAATTTGAATTTACACCCCAAAGAAAGTGTTAGCTTTTTCTTGTACCTGTTTTCTGTTTCCCTTATTCGCGAAAGTCAGGTATAACATTTAAGAAGCCTTATTTTCTATATTAGGATTCCATTACTGACGTTTCGCGAAGTGAAGGAGAACTCCCGCACGATCCAATGGTAGTTTTGTTGAGTCGCATTAAACACCACATGAGGTCAGCGGAGAGTAGTATGGCCAGTGAAGGGGAGTTGTTAGGAGACCGTTCGCGCATGCCCCGTTCAAACCAGAAGAAAAGTGGAACAACGCATGTTGGAGTAGTGGGTAAGATTGGAGAGTAAACTAGTAGCTTGGCAATCTCGTACTACTTTACAAAATAAACTGAAAATTGCACTAACCAGGTCGTTTTTATTTATTACTAGCTTCTGGGAACCTCTCTCCCGGTGAAGTAGTAGGGGAATCCCCCGATGTATCGAGAGACCTTCACCGCGAGCTAGATAATGCGAACAAGAGGCAATACCCAACATTACCCGTAAACGAAGTCGTTCGGACGACCGAGGAAGTGCGAACTATTGCCGACGGAGAGCTGAGCGTCGATGATCGCTCTCTTCACGCGTCAGACTTGTTACCAAGGACGCTCGGTGCTGCTGATGCTTTGCCATTTACACAACTTCAGCGTTCTCATCCGAGAGTGATTCAGGTTGAAGAACATGAGAGTGAGCCTTCAAATTCGCAGCGGACTTACTCGGTTGAGGAGCGAAGGGAAGATGGATCTGCTCTTCTTCGTGAAAACGAGAGTAACGAGCAAGCTGATGTTCACGGTTTAGAAATGGGAAGCGCAAGAAATTCTGATGTAGAAGCTAAGGAAACAGAACCACAAAAGCCGACTCAAATCCAAGTGACATTGCCTTCCATTGATGATGTTACTCACGAGGAAAGCTCAATACCCAGTGATGCGCATATTTCCATTGATCAAGACACGATTGGTGATGTGTCATCAATTTCTGGAGGCGATTTTTGAGCAGAATATTTATTTTGTCATTATGATAATAAGCAATTTACTGTAGAAACGATAGACAGCATGGGAGATGTGGGTATTTGTTCAAGTGTATTTTTGTAGAGATTTGCACAATACTATTTGAAGGAATATTTATGAGAAATGTGAACCGATGCATATGAAATAATTCTAACTTGTTCTACATTGTTCATTTTACAAGCGCAGCTTGCTGGGAATGAACACGAGAGGTTCCGTGTGAGCCTCGACCCTGTGTACCCAACCCAGTTCCCTTGACTTAAGGCCAAACCGTTTCGAACGTGCTTAGGAAACCACAAAATATAAACATAGGAAGATAAAAGGTCATGATAACAATGTGGGGTTTTAATTTGAAGCCGGAAGCTTCTTTCGGTTTTTTCCTGTATCACATTGAAATAAACCCGGCTTAAAGATATGGGAATAAACAAAGAATGAACGGCTCGGAACTGAAAGGGTCAACAGCTCGGTTACAAAGGGAACCCGGGACCCTACCGTAGCATTTATGGATGTAATTTATCTGTCCGAAGTGAGCTCCCACGGTTTCGTTTGTGTCTTTTCTCTTTTCTCTTTTTTCCAATGAGCCATTTGAAATAATGTCCTAGGAAGAAAGAATGATGTTTAGAAAAGCAAATAACAGCCATCCTGAGAAATGTTTCCCACACGCAAATTCGCGTGAATGTCAACAAGAGCTAGTGAACGAAAGCGTTTGCTCTTTGGTCAAGAGCCATTTTAGTAAAATCACTTGGCTGCGCCATGTGGTTTCACTGAGTTTTGAATACTGTTGACGTCATGTCTTAAGGTTGTAGACAATAGAAATCTGTGGTCGATTTGTTAAACTGACATTGTGTCACGTAACCCGTCTACACATTTTACACGTTTTTCTTGACCCTTTTCACCCGAGCATTAGTAAGCATATTTTCCATACCGTTTTCTGTACATTTCCGAAGGTGCTAACAGGGAGAATTTGTCTTACAGTCAAGAGTCTCCTTAGTTGGTGATCTCTTCCTTTATTCTCATGACATTAACATATGATTCAAGGGTGATATTGTAAGGAGAAATTAGATGCTAGTCACTCTTATGGGTCAAAGGGTTAAGATATTTGGAAGTCAAGGGCTCACGAGAGGAAGGGCTTATCACGTAAAGTTTCTTCAAGTCATTTGTCACCCCTTAGAGTTCCTCAGACTGTCAGCCGTATGTTAGCCCTTCCTTAATGATGCAGGCTTCGTAGCTGATGTTTCTATAGGCTTCGAGCTTCTGGGAGAATCTTCGCTTCTTGCTCAAAAAGGCTGGAAATAAGGAATGTCCCTTACTTTATAGAATGTGCGTGTTTCATATGTGTGAGTTGCTTTTCATAGACAGTGAACGTGGTCTTTCTATGCCACACCGTTATATCTGATGCATATGAACAGCGCTCTTTCTCCTTTCATTTCGTTTACTTCCATTTTTAACCGAGCTCACCTAAGTTTGTATTTTTGTGGTGAGTCTCTTAGATCGACGATTGTGTTAGGTTAGATTGAGATACACTGTTCGAAGAAATCTGATCTCACGAAACCCGGAAATTAATAAAAAAAAAAAAAAAGGAGAAGCTGCGGGGGTGGGCACCCCTGCATGCACGTACACAAATATTTGTCAAATCTGTTGCATAACGTCTACGCTTTTTCGAGCTTCCCTGTTAGAAAACAGATTACTTTGGCCTTGTTTCGAAATAGAAAGGATAATATCGTGTCCACTTTTTTACTTTTCGGATCGCCTTTCCCCTCCCCTTTTAAAGTCCGCTCTAAATTTGGCCGATTCCTGTTCCCATTTCATCCCCAACCCTTCCTCCCTGGCCCATTCGGGAATCTGAAACAACCAATGGTGAACCAGTTAGGACTTGCACCATCTTCTTTTGTATGCTGATCTATCAAGCCATTTCATTGGTCAATTAATCAATCGAACCAGGACAGCGATAGTCCTGTTGCGAAACGAGTACCTTGATCGTTGAAATTTCGTCATTACTGTAAAAGTCATCTTCCGTTAGGTCTGATCAGGAACGCGGAGTTTCACAAAGGCTTTTATTTTCGCTGTAAAATGAGCGACAGCGACGTAAAATCCACAAGGCCATTCAAACAGCGGAAAAGTTTTGGTAAACCGATTTGTCTTGTTTTTTGCCTACACGCGGCTTTGTTGATGTTTTGTTGCAGTCCTTGCGATGCAAACCTTAACAGAAGCTGCTATCTTTTTAAATTTTAGTCAGTCGGAGAGATGAAGTTGCCGGAATCCGAGCCAAGTTCCCGTCAAAAATTCCTGTGAGTAATGTTTTGCGAGTAATTTGAGTTTTGATTTAGGTAAAACTGGCCATCGCGTTTCTTGGTAAACAAAACTGCAGATTCACATTTGTAACCTTTTGTTGTAGGTTATAGTCGAGAGATATCACAAAGAAAAGGATTTGCCGCTACTCGATAAGACAAAATTTCTCGTTCCTCAAGAGCTAACTATGAGCCAATTCGTGACAATCATTAGGTAAGTTGTGGTATGATATTCTGCGTGTTTGTTATTTTGCAACTCGCTTGTTTCAGCTCGAACGTAACTTGCTTTGTTTCATCTGGTCCGTTTTGAATAATCATCACGTCGCAGCTCTTAAACAAGGGTCGTTTATGTTAAGTTAGAAAGCTATCGAATAACTCTTCGCTGACAGATAAGAACGCTTATACGTTTGGTAGAGCGCTCGAAAAGTGCACTTTTTAGTCAACATTCTAGTATAGATTGGATTCCAAGCAGTTCAAGACACGTCTCAGAGCATCACAAATGCGCGGTGGTCGAATTGGGAAATTAAGTTACAAGGTCACGTAAGGTCATAAAAATAGTATCGGTGAAGATAACTCGACTTTCCACGTGAGACATATTCATACGGATCTTCTTACGCCAAGCAAAAGCATGCTATGACTTCATGCATGTATCGGTGCTTATGTGAAATTTATATGAAGTGTTGCTCCTAAAATGGATATTTTTCAGAAAATGACTTGGGGAATGATCCTCTAACCTCTGTCAGTTGACCTACAGGTTTTGAAGAAATGCTTCAATTTCTAATCTAAATAGAGGTATTACAGTAGACTTGTTTAATCTGGTAAATTAAAATGAAAGGCTTTTGTTCTCAAAACATCATTAAGTATGTTATCTGCCAAGGATTGTCTTGGTCGTCAAACACGTATTATTTTGTTTTCGTTTATTAAGAATTGCATCGTTAGCGAGTGTAAATAATTGTGTTTTCTTTCAAGTCTTAACATGAATGAAATGATGAAAAAAATTGTTGGGTATTGCATGTATGCAATACTAACTTTGATCCTGACAAATATTCAAAAATTTTTTGTAAATAGTACTTAAGCTCTCCAGTATGTCATCATGTCAGTATTTTAGTTTTGTTTCTTATCTGTGGTTAGTGACTCTTCCCAAAACAAAAGGGGAATTTGATACATCTTTTGCTGTTCATTGTGAATGGATTTGAAACAAACCATCTTCATGATTTTCTTACTAATTTGGTTTATAACAAGCTGCAAAAACATGTCCTGATTTTGAGTCAGTCTCTGTGTGAGTAGTTGTTAATGTGAAGTCTATTAGAGATATGGAAAGCTGTATGAAATAAGAACTATAGATAAACAAGTTATCTACATGGCTAAGCCAAAAGAGGAAAAAGCAATTACTGAGCTAATTGCCAGCTTGATATACAATTTTGCTGGAACCATTTACCCTACAGTATGCAAATTCTTTACTCTGTTCTCCTTACATTCCCAAGGGTACTATCAAGGTGGATTTGTGTAACAATCAAGAGCTTATTTTATTGGTGATCATTTCCTTTATTCTTGTGACCTTAATGTTTGATTCAGGGGTGATCTTGTAGGGAGAAGTTAGATGCTAGTCACTAGAGATCAAAGTTTAAATTAATAACTATAACTCATGTGTCTTAAAGAGTAATTGCAAAGTTTCTTTTCCATCCAACTATTTTTAATTGTAACTTATTGTTGTTTTCTTTTTTTTTCTTCTTTAGGAATCGCATGTCATTATCATCAACACAAGCTTTCTACCTCATTGTAAACAACAAAAGTTTAGCAAGCATGTCTATGACAATGGCAGAAGTTTACAAGGAAGAGAAGGATGAAGATGGATTCCTGTACATGGTTTACGCTTCTCAAGAAATGTTTGGCTCATGACAAGCATAAAGTGAGAAAAGGATACTAATACAGACATAATGTCACTGGAGAACATTTCCTTTTTAGAAAAAACAGTTCAGAAATAGGAGAGGATTGAACATTTAAGTCCAGAATCATCGCCTTAGATAAACGTAAAATTGTGAAGAGTCTCATGTATTGTGTATGTATCCTTCAACATCAGAAAGTTTTATCAGTATTCTAAAGGGTTCAATTTGTTAGTTAGCACCATATCTTGTGATAATCTGTAGATAAAACAGAGGTTTTTTGTTAACTGTTGTGATAAATAGTGATTAATCTTCTTTGGTTGTCCTCCAGCAGGTGTGTAGTGATTAGATAGTAGATATGTAACTTTGAATCTCTCAGCAATTTTCATGATATTTTGCTAAATTTGATAAAAAAAAAAAATTGGAAAGAAATCAATTGGATGATGTTTTATCAACAAACATTCCATGCAGATGTGAAGATAATTCCCATGGCAATGTCATGATATATTAGGTGGTGCTAATTTTCTACTAGATTTGATCTTGGTCATTTTGTCAGTGTTGGTAGTGTGGAAAAGAGCAAATATGTTCCAATGTGTCATGCTGGGGAGATGATCTATTTTTATCTCCTTCACTTATGTGAAAGTTCTAAGGGGAATTTCATACAGTATCTATACAATTTCAATTATTGAGATGATACAGAACTAAATTTTTTTCTGATCATAAACAGATTTCAAAATCTGCCAAAATGAGAACTTGCCCATTTTTCCTTCCCCACAATGTCCTAAGTCAACACTTGCGTCCTCGGCAGTTTTACCAATGTGTTTATTTCTTGCCTCAAGTCAGGTTAACAAAGTAAAGGTGAAGTCAAGAGACATTAACTTTTCCTTCATTCATGGTATTAAGAAAGGATATATCATTAAATGTCATTACCTAGATATGCTAGGAGTTATTTAAATTTATTTCTAATTTAAATGTGTAGCATATAAGAAGGTTATAAAGATTATGCGAATGAAATCTAACTTAAGCTCTTATTAAGTAGTAGTAACATTCAACTGATTACAGGGGTTTCCAAAAAAGCCAGTTGCTAATGGTTTACCACTGTTTATGAGACCTCTAGCTGCTGTATGTTATCCTGCAAGCAGACTCATATTTGGGTTTTGCCTTACAGCCCCCTTTCCAGTCATTAAGCTCTCTTTTCCACCATAAGCAGCCATTTATGGAAAGAAATCATTGAAACCCTTGTGATTATGATAATTATTAGGCTTTTAGTTTTACAAAATCTTAAAGAAGAAATTTTAAATGTATTTAAATTTCTGGTGTGTATGGTTTGAGAGTTGATATTATAATGTGTGAGTTTGGTTTTCATATGTAGAAATAATTAAGTATGTAGTTCTTGTGATGGATTGGGCAAGAATACTTGTGTTTCGTGAATTTTTCTGGCATGTTTTGCCTGGAATTAATGTAACTCTCAGATTATTTGGGAATAATATTCAAGTAGAATTGCACCTACACACCAATGCTGGTTTTACAGTGTAACTTAAGAAAATGCTTTCTTTTTCTTACAAACATCTCATCACCTTGATTTAAAAGGGAAGTTTGTGAGGTATTAACCAGAAATATATAATATACATTACACTTACCAAGAAAAAATTAACATATGATTTATCATCCCCAATTTTGTTGTTTCATGTGTGCATGCAGAAGCTAAACTTTTAATTGAATGTATCTTGCATGTTAGACTTCTCAGCTTTTGAATTTCTGACTTCACTCAAGTAATGGGCAAATTGTTGATCATTAACACATTATGACAATAGGCCAATTTGCAGTTGTGTACTTAGTCACCAAGCCTTTGATTTGGAGTAAGGCTGAAGTTGACCATATTGTGATAGAGACCAATATCTAGTTCACATGATAACAAAGTATTTTTTATCAAACCTGCTGCATTTGAAAGGCAGCAAGGTTTGTATCATAACAGGGTCAACTTAGCCTCACTCCTGTTCAAAGGCTTGGCAACCAAGCACTCAGTTGTTAAATGGACTACTGGGAGATAGACTCACTGTTGGCTGGAAAAAAACGTCTTTTGTTTTTGTGTTTGTTTCTTCACTTGCTTGTTTTTGAACTCCAAGCACATAGTGAGGTAATTTGGGTTGCTGATGGAATTTTCCCTAATAAAGTTTATCTATCAGAGTCTAAGTGGAGAAAGTTAATGTATTGTGAGTAAGAAAGTACTCTTGTTTTTATATGGTATAGCACCATTGTATTAAAACCATTCCAAATCTTTATCTTACTGTTAAGTTTTTGATTTGAAATGTCCTTTCATTCTGGCAATTCATAATTTTCTTAGTATATGTGAATTTGTAAGGCTTATTGATCTATTATATTTTGGAGGATCCTGGGGTGGATACATTTGAGACTACGTTGAGGAAAAACAGTTGTAGTTTGAAATGTGTCTTAAATTAAAAACACAATGCTTGGCTTGATTAAAAGAACTTGTAAAGGTCTAGGTGACCCTATGACCTTGCGTACTCTTTATTGCTCATTGGTTTGCTCAAACCTGGAAAACAGTTTGGTGGTGTGGTCTCCCTAAACAAAAAGAAATATTGATA